GCTATAAGTGTTAAATACATGGAGGATTTCAAAGGCATAACATTAAAAATAATGAAAAATAAAATCATTAATAAGAGTTTTATACTGTTTATATGTTGCAATGATAATATTTGGGGTACAGTGGGTTAAGTAAAATCTGTTATTACTTCTTTAGTGTGGCTACTAGAAAATTTAAAATGACAAGTGTGGCTCACTGTATATTTCCAGTGGAGAGTGCAGCTCCAGACAGTGATGCTGTTGTCACCTCATTCCTGTCCGCTTGCCCCACAGAGCTGCTTACTGTCCTCAGAACATTTCTTATCATTTTATGCCTCATACTCTCTCCTTTTCCAGAACTTTCGTCCCCCTTCTTTCCTATTAGATTAAATATGATTCCTACATTTTTGTTCAGAGCAAATACCTCCGCTACTATATAAAACTTTCCCAATTCCTTAAGGTAGAATTAAACATTTCTGCCTCAGAGTCTTACATGCTCTGTTAATACCTTTTTTATAGCTAATTCACGTGCTTATATTTTGTTTTATATTTGTTTGCCTCTCCAGCCAGATTCTAAGTGTCTGCAAAGTGCAGGTGCAACCTGGTTTATGTCTATAATTATGTTAGGGGGTACTGGGTACCAGGTTGGTGCTCAATGAAAGTCTGGTGAATAACAATTGCTCTACACATATCATACAGCTACCATGTGACTGGTTATGACTTAGATGTTTTAAGACAATATTTCAAGTCCTCTCAACAATGCTGCAAGGTAGATAAAATGATCCTCATTTTGCATACGGGGATCTTGCAAAAGCTCAAACTGTTAGTAAATTATAGAACCAGAATTCAACTACACTGACTGAATGAAAAAGCCGTGTTTTTTTTTTTTCCTGTGATACCATGCATACTGAAAAATGAATTAAAAAATGGAGATTATATTCCTATATCATAAAATAGGAAAAAACACCAATTTCCTAAGATTGTTAGAAGACTAAATGCGATAATCTATATGAAGTGTCAGGGCAGTGCTTGAAAACAGTAGGTTTTATTAAACATTGGCTTTCTTCCATCTTGAGGTCCATAGCATAGGCATCCTTAATTTCTGAGAAGGATCAAAGTGGTTTACCTAACCTCCTCGATGCCCCTCACATGCTTACAACTCATGTTCACTTTCATTCACACTCATCCAAAGGTCATGAGACACTGACTTCTCTGGCGCTATCGACTTTAACCCAGTCCTCTTTGTATATCCCCCTGATGTTTAAAGAAAGTGGAGTAGAGAAATAATAAGTAGTACTGAGGGTATTCAATCTGTGGGTGTGTTTGTTGGTGAGGATTAGGGCAGGAATAATAGCAAAAAAGGAATCAAGCCTGGAGTCTTTCAAGGCTATGTTCCCTTGGTGAATTCCAGGAAAATCATTTGGAGTAGAGTGCTGACTCTTTTCTTCCTGTTCTGTCTTATCCAGCTATGGTATTTTATAATCAGAACCACTTTCTTTACCATCTCAGGAATCTCTGTAGGAAAGGGAAAGGCGAAGTGTGACAGGGATAGACATTAATTGTGGACCAATACTGTTCTGCAGGTCCTAGGTTGAGAGGCAAGCCTCCCAGAAAATAAATTTAAGCAGGTAAAGTGTGAAGATATGTTGATATGGGGCTGTGTTCAGGTAAGGGAAAGTGGCCCCTCTATAACCTCAGATCCCTGTAATTCCCCTGAAAAAGCAATATTAGGAAGTCTCTCAGTTGCTGTTGGTAGGGGACCAAGGCTAAAGGCAGCTCATGCGCTCAAGGGTAATATAGTTCTTTATCCTCTTGGCAAGTTAACAGCAGGATCACTGCCTTGTCCAGAGTTGGGAAACTTTCTCACCAACCTGTGTTCTTGTTTGTTTTAGATCAAACATAGGGACAAGTACACAGTAGGGCAGAGCTTCCACTATAAAACACTCAAATTCTCCTCCAAATACATAATATATTTAAAAGCCTTCTGATCCACTACAGAACCAAACTACATACCAAAGGGCAGGGAATGAAGAGAATAGGGAACTTAGAGCCTTATACCATTATTATTATTATTATCATTATCATTACTTTAATGGTGTGTTTTACCTCTCAAACTAGCCCTTTGAGTTTAGGGCCTTTGTTTTATTTTATTTT